TATTTTGGATGCGATTAATCGTTTGACAGCACTAATTTTAACATTACATTTAAATACTATTTATTATTAAATGCAGCCCTGGAACTCTCTCAAACCGCCACTGGGCTTTTCTTATAGTTGAGCCTTGGATGGGGTCTTTAAAAATACTTCTTACCGGCTCAAACGGTAGAACCATATAATCTTGAATTCCATACTTCTCTCTCAAAGCCTAAAAAAAAAAAAAAAAACGTTAAGGCATTTTTGTATCCGGAACATTCATCTTATCTGAACTACAGTTATTTCTCTGGGAATTTCCTCACTGAAGGAACTCAAACCAAATCTAGAAAATAAAATGCCATAAAACAAATACAACACCTGTTTCTTTTTAATGTCCCTCAGAGCGGCGATATCATCAGGAGCATCCGACGGAACACTGGTGACGACTCCAGTTCCTGTGATGACAAATTAGATTTCAACAAACTCCATAATAAGGTAACTTACTATAAATGCTCCACCTCACATTTTTGGCAAAAACAACATTTATTTTTCCACAGTCAGACAACCAGTGATCGATATTGAAATTTCTGACATATCAATTTGGGGACGGCCCTTTCGGGATGAAAACAGGAGCCCAGGGTATAAGAAAAAGAATTAGGTGAGGAGCAGTTTGTGTTTGGAGTAATGTGGTCCGTGTAGCCTGAGGGAACATCCATTACGGACATTTCCATATTCCATTTCTCCTGGCTTCACTGTACTCCGCAATGAGTAACGCCGCTTTCACTTTGGCTATTAAAAGCATGCAGCATTGCCCTGCGGCCCGTTGAGAGATGCATCTTGTCTGTGCAGGGGTAATGTGATGCGACGATACTGTGGGCTGGTGTCGGGTACCTTTGTCTTCTTTAATGGTGAGCATTGGCAGGGCATAAATGGTCTTGTATGAGGTGAGGGGGGCACTCAATGCGCAGCCGAGGATGTCCTGAAAAAATGGGAGAAGGGGTGAGTCTGTGAAGGAGCAGTCAGTGTGCATAAACTTGATTCAGTTTGTGAATTAAATTGTGTAATTTCACAAAAAGTACTGAAAATACTTGTCATAAGTTTGGTACAACACGCACTGCATTGTCAAGATTAAAATGATGATCTTTTTTTGTAGTTAACATTCATTTATTTTCTTCTT